GGGGGGGGGGGGGTCCTTCACCTGCAGAATATATGTATTGTATATAAAACTAATATTAAATATTATATAATATCATCTAAATAAAAATAAAGCAGAAAAATACAAAGAAATAGGTGAAAGGACTAAGATGCTCCTTTACTTAACGGATTAATCTAACCGAGTTAATAACAACGGTCAATTCTCAAAACAAAATGTAAACAGTAGGGACGATTACTGTAGTTATTGAAGTCTAGGGATCACTTTTAAATATTCATGTAAACCACAGGGTCCAAAATTGTAAATTACTCTTATAATTATTATATCATGATGATTATCTTTTTCTTATTAAAGAAATCTTGAAAACAAATTTTCTTTCATATTATTTAATGTAAAAAAAGCATTATTTTATTAAAAGGAAATATTTTTTTTGGATAAATATATTCCATAAACATATCAATATATAAAATTATTGATCATAATTAAAAATATATATAAATAAATAGATTTTATCCCCACAAAATTGTAATTTCTTAAATATTAATTTAAAAAAAATAAAAATAAAATTAAGTTTAATTATTTTATATCGTGAATTATATGATTTAAGAAAAAACACATGAATTACTATTTTTTTTCCCTTTGATTAAAAAAATAAAGGTAAAAAACAAAAAACCCCATAATGGCGATCAAATAATATTTTAATGCCAATATAATAAAATATTAATAAAAATATATAATTACGGGTGTGGTCGTGGGTCCCGTTTCCCACGTGGGGCGATGAATTTGATTGGTTAAAATGGATTAGCGAGATTTTTAGGTAAGCAAACCCTATCCACGTGGCTCCAGCCCACGTGAAGTTGGACCCACAAAGTCAGTAAAAACCCAAACCCGAATTCGTAAAAGTGGTTTATGCCCGAATCACGGGCAACCAATCGGTTCGGTTTTCTATCTCATGCCCGGTTTGTCCCGATGGAGAAAATACATGTGTTTATTTAAAAGTATTTAATAATAAATTAATGAAATTAAAAGTGGTTTAGGAAATCTGTTGAAAATGCTCTAAGAGAATATTCAACAAATTCATCAAAAACAAATAAATAAAAAGTCAATTTCCAATAAAAATTTCGTTCGATCTCTAAAATATTCTCTGTTTTTTAGATTATACAATTAAAATATTCAGTACAATTCATAGAATATTACTTTTTTTCTTTTAAACATTTAAATTCAAACAATCTCATTGATAATATGCCTGAATGAATAAAAATCAGTAATCAGTTTTGAGAAAATCTCTAAATTTGAAGAATTTTATTTTCTCTCTCATACATTCTTCATTTTGAAAAAGGTTTAGGAAAGTCTATTGAAAGAAAGGTCCCTAAAATCTCTATTTTGAAGAATCTATTAGAGATACTCTAATAAATTCACCAAAGGGTTTTTGACCTAACGGTATATGAGTCATTGACATCTTAGAAGGTCAATGGTTCAAACCTCACCAAAAGTGAGAAAGGTGTATGGTTTATTTATTTTATTAACCGTATATAAATATTATATACTTTAAAAAAAATTCATCTTCCCATAAATTTATAAAAATTCTTTTCTATTTTATCATTTTTTTCCTCGTTTTTTAAATTTACGTTACCCACATGAACCAAACAGCTTCTACAAAACCATCAACGCTTTTTAACTTTTCGAGATTTTAGAAAGAGTAAATTACATTCTTGGTCCTTGTGGTTTGCACTAAATAACACTTTCTATCCTTAAAATTAAATTACTTCATTTTCTTACTTTATATTAAAAAAAATTAAAAAAACAGTTTCATACTTTTTATTCTATTAAAATGGTGTTTTTTTTAATAATGGCTGATTTTAACTTAAAAAATACCCTAAGAAACACTAAACAAACATCTTTATTATCATAGGATTTTATTAAGCATAATAAATATAATGTGTAATTAATTATTATAATAGAATTTAATGATATATAGTTTTCAATTTATGTCATTAAAACTTGTTAAAATTAGAGATTTCGTATGTTGGTTATATAGGGTTCATGGATTTGGTTAGGTATGGCAACGGGATGGGGACGGGGCGGGTTTTGTAATCCCCGGTATCTGGCCCTTGTTTTTAGTAATATCCTCAGGCTCTGGGTCCTGGTAGGTACGGGGATTAACATCTTGTCATCGGTCAAACTTTAGTCAAACCCCATAAAGAGTATCCTTTAGTTTGGGTCCATTGGGGGATCCCCGACTCCAGGACCCGTTTAGCGGTGAATCCCCGTCCTCGTTCGGGTTAGGTGAGTCGAGTTCCCCATCGGGTCGGGGCAAATCACTATCCTTAGATTTGCCAAACGAAATAATTATATCTAAAGTCTATGTGGTTTCACTTTTGTTGCGTGTTGGATCCTTTGCTATAAATCTACCAACGGTCATTCCGTTAAATCAAGGAAGTTTTTGTCGTTTTACGTTTTTATTTTATTTCTATTTAAATAATAATAAATTTATATCAAAAAACTATCCATTAAAACATATATATTTTAGTCTTTATACTCATTCTCACTTTAATTCTTTTAAGAAATTAAAAACTATATATCTAAATAAATAATTCATTATCCAACATAAACTAAAAGGATTAGAAAAACCTAAATGACGTGATAACTACGACTTAAAACACAAGTCCACTCGACAGTACATAACAAATCCTCATTGCACTAATCCTATATAACAAAAAACGATTAGAACCAGCTCCAACCCATCTTCACAATCCTTGCACAGTGAGCGTCTAGAATATTGTTTGGATCTGAATGTTCATCTTCGACAGTTACGCTCAATTTAATCCTTGCACAATGAGCATCTAGAATATTGTTTGGATCTGAATGTTCATCTTCGACAGTTATGCAAAATTTTATGTTCTTACGTACCTTCAAACTCATCATCTTAGCTTGACCTATTAACGAAATGATAATATCAGATAAAATTTAATTCCCCCCCCCCCCCCCCTTTTATTTGCATCAAGAAAACTACACCCATAGCAAGGTTTCAAAACCTCAATCACTTGGTGTTTAGTTATGTCATATCCTTATCTTATTCCACAAAAAGAAAACATTTTTCCGTCACATCCAATCGTACCCGTCCTTGTCTTATGTCATGTTAAATACGTAACAGTGAATTTTACCTTGTCTCACAAACATGGAAGAATGAGTTCCAACTTTTCAAAGTCAAGTCCCATGTACAAAACTTAGGACATTTTTCGTTAACAACTTAACGAGCTTAATAAGACTCGTAGCTTTGTCAATCTGCCATACATGATAGTTTAGTAATGGTTTAATGGTATAGAAAATGGTTTATTTCATCAGCTTCCAGAGGAGCTTTATACTGAAAACCACTTTCTTTCTTTTTTCAAAACTACTCTTACCAATTAAATGACAATCTCCTTCCATCTATGAAAAAGTTCTCCCATACAAAAACTTTTCAATCTATACAGACAAATTAATCCACACAAACAACTTTATCCATACATAACTTAATAGAAAACAATCCCACCCTCTTTTAAGTTTTTATATGTTTCAAGGGTCATATTTTCAAATCCTCTATAACCACTTTTCCACTTGTAAATTAAATACAAAACCAAACCCAAAAAGCACAAAAACAAGACATTTTCGGAATCAAAAATCATTCGAATCATGACGACAAGCTTTGTGGAGACTTGACCCACGATGTAGAAAACCAATATACATCAAACATTCAAACAAGCAAACACAAAGCAAGAAAAAACACAAGCAAACGTATAATTTCGCGCAAAACCGTCATCAAAAGCTTCAATTTTTATGGGACGACTTTTCTATTAACTTTTTTTTTCTTTCATAGCACAGAAGAGACTCGCTACCCTCACGAGGAGGGTGGGTCGAATTTTCCGATTACAAAGGGTACCCACATCGTCTAATATCTCTTGTGAAGAAAGGATGCCGTAAAGCTTCCCGAGCTTTCAGTCGCTCTGATGGGTCAAACCGTAACAGCCCCTGCAAAAGATCGATCAGGGCTCCGGCAGAGTGATCCACATGCTGCATTACCAGGTTCTGCATTCGGAAAGAAAATGTTTTAGAAAGATACAGGGTTCTAGAAATGTGTGATTGTTATACTTTTTATTAATAAAATGACAAATTTCACATTAATAAACTATTAAAAAGGTACGGCCAAGGTTTTAAAATGTGGAATTGGGCCTCGAGGCGTTTTCCCTCAACAAGGAGGCGTAAGCCTCGAGGCAGTCCAAGGCGTAAGCCCTGGGTGGAAAAATATGTATATATACTATACATATATATACATATATATATACAAGAGTCTCAATCAAATACAAACCATATAAATCAATCCCAACTGGTCATCTGGTCCAACGAATATCCGGTTTCATGAATATATTGATTGTTTCTTAATATAAACCGTTGATCTTAATCAATGAACTTTCATCATTTCCATAAACATTGGTTTGCAGGTTTGTAACATTTAGAAGTTTTGCATTTGATTTGCCATCACACCTAATATACATATATAGGAGGATCATATGAGAAGTTAAAAATTTTAAGAGAAGGCGAGAGATCTCAATATCATATATGACAACACTCATTTGGTGTGTTGAATCATATTTTGATTAAGCGTCTATGTGATGTCAATGCAACATGTGTTTAATCATATTTGATTAAGCTTGTGTACCATGCGTGTAATCATATATGATATTGGGACTTTATCGCCTTCTTGCAAAATGTTTAGCTTCTCGTTTGAACCTGCCTCTATATATTTATATAATACTAAATTATTAAGAGCGTTGGTTCAGTGGTTCTTAATGAAACCGTGAGATAGACTTGGTCGACAAAATATTAAAAGTACACTTGGTGTGACAAAATAAAACTATAAGTACACATTCAGGCAATTAGGCTTTGACATTTAGTTTTTTAAAAAATAGACACACCATAAAGAGAAAGTATTACTACTGCGATGAAGCTTGTAAAAAAGCCAGAAAAATATCACCAAAGCATATCCTCTGAGGATTATGCCTCGACAACGCCTCACGCCTCACCGAACCGCATCATTGAACCAAGGCGTATGCCTCGTCCAGGGTCCAAGAGGCGCCGTCCCAGGTGCGGCTTTGGGCTGCCTTGTCTCGAGGCGCCCTTTAAGTTGTATGCCTCAAACGATTTTTTGTATGGGGTTCTAGAACCTGCATTACCAGGTTCTGCATCCGAAAGGGGTACATAGTTTCTGAATTATGAAATAATTACAATTTGAATTATAACCATTTTACTCTTCGTAACAGGGTTCTCCGTGTTATAGTTAAGGGTAGAACTGGAAAGTAGATATGAGACTAGAATAAAAATATATGTTTTATGTTGATTGGTTTCTTTTTCAGGCTAGTTAGCTGCTTTACTTACTTTCATACTATTACACTTTTTAATTGAAATGACAACTATACCCTTAATAATACAAGGAGATGAATTTCTCCGTTTCATAATCAAGGGTAGAATTGGAAAATAGAAACTTATTTTTGAAAGTGTACACTTATTTTAGGACAACCTAGAATAGAAATATAGATAGTTACAGATTCATGTTGTAGAGAAACTTTTATGATGATACAAATTTTCGAAAATATAAACTATCCACCGAGTAATCCTATACAGCCAACTTAAACGAGCCCACTACATCATCCCAGAGGTGGGGTCAAGCAGTGGCATATATACAGGCATGTCCTCTACTCCAAAGAGTAAACCTGTCATCTTATACATATTTTGAAAATATAAAATATCCGTTCTCGAAATAATTGAGGTTTAAAGTTCTTTATATTCTATATGTTACAAAACTTGAATGTGATGGCTAGACCTTCATGCATCGTATTGGTATTTGTTACAATATTTAGACAATTAACTTAACCCGATTTCTATTTAGCGCATCATATATATAGGGCTGAATTCTGGTGAGAATGGAAGTTATGGTGAGAAGGGTAAGAAGGGATCTCCACCCTTGGATCAATCCTAATTGAAGATCAACGCTAATGAGATGTACCAGATAGACCGGATTGATTCCCGTATCAAGTGAAATCCATAGGGTGGGGGTGAGAATATGAGATTAAAAGTGATCAAGTGTCCAGATCCCTTCTTATGCTCCTCAACTCCTATTCTTACCCGATTCTTTGTGTGTGTGTATATATATAATTTCTACTTGAAGGAACAATAACGAAAAGATCAACAGAAACACACAGATGGCAAGATTTCAGAAACAGAAATCTATAACGACTTAATTACCTGCAGGCGTGGAAGTTTCCACACAGCCCTCATACTTTCTCTCGAGGTTGCACCTTCAGGCCAATCCAATCGTGCACCCCTTCTAAAATACTTTTCAGACCGACGGCTGCAAAGATTCAGGTTAATGTAAGCGCTTTTGTTGTATCCAAGGAACTAACGGTTTAAGTTTCAATAACATAATATCTTACTCTGCTCGCATAATCATATGCTGAGGAAGTGGCCCTAAAACTCTCTCCATCATTGCAAGATGTTCCAAGTTTTCATGCGTTTGGAACAGAGCCTCACCCTAATTGTGAAGGAACAAATTTGAGCAAACAAATAAGTAAAGGTTTAAAACACATCACACGACACAATAACAGCAACTAGTGCTGCTATATTTTACCAAATAGTCAAGCACTTAAAACAGTGGTCCATTTGGTATGCGGACATAACTGGACTGGACTGGACTGAATAGGACTGGCGAGAGTGAGGTAGGCGGATGAATAATTTGTGGAAGTTTTTAAGGTTTTAGCTTGACACAGGTAGTTTAGTAATTTACAAATCTTGTGTTATCTCCGTAATTTCTGTTCCACCTATTTTGGTAGGACAAAGAACTGCATTTTTGTCCCACTCAATTATGCACTGTCCCAGTTCAATTGTTGTGCCAAACGTGCAAAAAACTTTTTGTTCTGTCCTGTCCAGGGTACCAAACGCATCCATAAGAAACCACTAAAAGAGCAAATAATTGCAAAAGCCGTGATCTTGGAGTGGAAAAGCAGAAAACGGGATGTTCAAAAGTAGTGGTTTCAGTCTCAGATGGTGGCTAAATAGTCTTCCCTCCTATTTCCCATTGGCTGGTTCAAGCCAACCAGAGTCAACATGATCCATGATATAGGATACTTTCACTGTGTTTTTACTTTTTAACCACAAGTTGGATAGAGTATGCAGCATTATGATAGTAAAAGAGGTTTCAAAAGACCAGATACAATGAAAGAACTACAACAGAAATGCAGGACCACCTTCGGCGTCCAGTTTCACCGACCAAACAATAAACATTTAGCAAACACCAGCTTTATGGACTTCCAAACAATATTTTCCAAAAGAATGTTTGTTTTATAAGGGAGTAGCGGTCAGGACTGCATACATCCCAACCCTCCTAGACCTTGCTTTCTAGTGGGATGTACTGGGTTTGTTTGGCTTGGTTAGGGTTCGTTTTATAACCAGTTTCTTGTGTCCAAAGGTAAAAAAAAAATACTATATTTGGCCACTGACATATTATATCTTAAAGAAAATAGGACATTTGCTGTTACTAACGTCAAAAGCAGAAAGAAAAAGGTAAAAGTAACAGAAGGCATCCAATTCAGACTTACGGAACAAAGTTCAATGAGTATGCAACCTACGCTCCACAAATCGCATGGATAGTTCCATCCTAGGCCTGTATGTAACAAAACATGGAACTCAAAATGACACGACTGATATTACTGACAATGATACCACTTGTTAGTAGAAGGCACCTACCCAGTATAACCTCTGGGGCACGGTAATGGCGTGTTGATACAACATAGCTGTGATCCTGGTGCTCAAATGTAGTGCTCCCAAAATCAATGAGCTTAATAGCACTTGTTTTTGGCAAATTCTTGAAGTAAGAACCATCTTTTCCGGATCGTGAAAGAAACTTGATTACAGGATAGTAAAGAGAAACAACAGCAATCAGAATTCGCTTATTGGATCGTGAACAATAAGACAACCATAACATATGTGTCCCTAACATATGAAAAGCTACCAAACTACATAAAACATGCATGTATCCATATGTTGTCTTATAGCGTCACATGTACACATAACCACCTTGTAGAGCAATAATGACGGATAACAAGTGAATGTAGAGGGGTTAATGTGCATATGAAGAGGGTTGTAAGCCATAGGGGAATAAAAATGCAATTAGCAGGGCAAAGCTAATGGAAAACTAACATTGACATCTTGAACACACAGGTACAAATGATAAATAACTCACATTTTTTGTGCACATGAGCATGAAGCATACCATACCTTATAATCTGGCACCTTGATGTACTCCGATGAAACCAGAAGAATGTTTTCTGGTTTTAAATCTGTATGTATAAGGCGAAGATCATGCATAACTGCCAGAAAAAGAGGCAATGCAAATTAGACAACCAGAAGAGAAGATTGTTAATGATCAAACTGGTGACACATGAAAAGAGAAAAAGAACAAAGTTTCAATACTATGGGTGATATGAGTATAAAGATAACAGGAGTACATCAGAAAGACACATCTTGCATGTAAAAGATACAGAAATAAATAACAGAACAAAAGTGGTACAAGTTTTTGCACACACATGCTACAGATTCCAAAAGTTGTCTGCCAAACTCCCGAACAAGATCAATGGGAAATGAACGGTAGTTGTTTTTGCGGAGAAAATCGTATAAGCTTGGACCAAGCTTCTCAAAAACCTGTTAAGACCATTTAAACCCATCCGCAAGTTTTTAACTCACAGGAAATCCAAGCATGACACAGCGTCATTGCCGTTGCAAATTAATCAAATCTCAAGCACCAATAAATACTTACAATACATATATGATTACGATAGTCAAACCAATTCCGTATTTGCACACAACTGCAAAAATAAAACCGCTTACACCAAGATTGCTTTAATTTCTACAACCAACAAGTGAAAAAGAAAAGGAAAAAGACACCTACCGGGAGCCACCAACATCATGTCTGGCAAGCTTCTGTAAAACGTCAATCTCAATCATGGCAGCTTCACGATACTTGCTTATTGAACGAACAATTTTAATTGCTACAGGCTCTTTCTTTTCATTATCCAGGCACTCCAAAACTTGTCCAAAAGTACCTACGTTGATTCATAGTCACTAAAGAAGGTTCATTATGAATCAGGACAGAAAAACAGAACACAGAAACCCTGTTTGTATAAATTATGATAGTCTTGGAGATGCAGAATACTAGACAATAGCTAACCTTCTCCCATTTTGCTCAATATCCTATCTGCAATTGAGAAACAAAACTATGTCAACACGTGATGTGTTGTGCATGCAATAAACCAGAGGAAACCAAAAATCTACATGTATTACCAATTACAAAGATCCTAAGGAATCCCACATAATCAAATTAAACAGGTAAAAAATATTTAGATTAAGCTGCTTAGTCAAACTGAAAATAGCATTTGTAAGCACCAGAAAGATCTTCAAAATACATGTAGGAGCAATTTTATACAAAAGATAACAAGCTACCTTGGTTGAAAGCATCCTTGCAACCATTTGTGCATGATATCATGTGCATACAAGCATTGTACATAAGTACATCAACAAACCCAAGCCTATGGAAACCAATCAGTGAGTATCCAAAATCACAATATGCTAAAGATGAATCGGTAAAGATCACGTCTTCTAGGTATCACATTATACTTGTAGCTAGGTATAAGAGGCCTAGGATAGGAAGGAGGGGGGGTCTGTGAGACGCATGACTTCGGATCACTTGTTATTTTGGTTGCCAGACATCGTCCTTAGGTCATTCAGGGGTTTCGTGCTTTCCGTTATGACTTTATTGTCCTTGTGTGCCGTAATTTTTCTTTTTGTTGTGTATGGTGTTTACCTATTCTACTTTCCTAAGCCCTTCTTTCCAATTCCAAAGTTATCTCAAGCTCTTCTTTAACTCTTCCAAACTTATTTTGTTTTATTTATTTCATTTCTTTACTTTATCTCTTTCATTTCTTTCAAATTCTAAATAAACTTGCAGAATGGCTCGAGCCTCGCACAAAGAATCTTCATAAAATATTTTTCACTAAACCTTTTTGCAGGTCGAGGGTGGTAAGCTTTCCCTCCCCGACCCTGTTCTGTGTGGGATTTATGGGGTTCGTTTGGTTTGGTTTGGTTTGGTTTATAAGAGGTACAGATCAGATTTTGAAGCAGCTCCCTTATCAGTGGCTCATGGACAATGAGGATCGAAATTAAATAACTAATGGTCAAACCAGTCCAGTCAACCTAAAGAATTAACCAAAAAAACACCCTACCGGCATAAGGTCCAATAGGGAACTTCTTTCTGAATCATTTTCCTTCCAACATCTTTTTGCCATAGGCACCCTATACCTCATGGTAGCCAATGGCTTAAAAGAAATGTCAAACTTTCTTAACTCCTGCATCAATGCCAGTCAAAGATGGTGTACTCAGAATGGTTTCCCCTTTACTACATTGAACCACAACTATAAAACAATGACAAACACAATGACCATGATACGGCACCTCAATAGTCAAGCAAGGATTTTTAGGCAGCTGGAGTTTACTTACATCGAGGAGTTATATTCTCTCCTACTGCAAACATGTAGTGGCCTTCTTTGTCGTCCGGTCTCCAGGGCGGGGAACCATTATGAGGTATCCCTTTGTAATATATTGAAGAGTAAGAAAAAATAGGGACTGCCCCGTTTATAAGCTCCTGTCTGCAGTATAAAGCTGGAAGCACCTGAGTAACAAACATGCATTAAAACAATAGAATTGACATCTGAACAACAAGACTTTATAAAATTATAGTTGTAAACTGGTATGAATAAACTAGAAAATATAAGATTACTTAAAAGCTATTCAGATTTTAAGTTTCGTATCTTAAATGGGTATTGCTGTCAGCATTTTATAATCCGCACCTCATCCAACAATGAAAATATACTTTTATCCAAGTCAGATAGGAAGAAAGAAATACATCACTGGACAAAATTAGCTACAGATAAGACTAATTTAATCCTATTGAGGTGCTTACAAAAATATTTCATATGAAAAGTTCGTTGATGAAAGTAATTTGCCACTGTTGATTCAACTGTGACCTCATGCTGCTTTCAGCAATTCAAAACTTTTTATGTACAGATTATGATGTCCTTCATCCATGAATGAGTCTATTCCAAAAAGATAGATACATCTTTCTGTATAGCTGACTCATTGATCCGATATTACATATCTCATGCAGATCCCATAACCATATCATTAACAAGTCAAAATGTTCATATCATTGTTGATTCCAGGAAATCTCTCGCTCAGGCAAAAGCACATCCAAATTCTGAAGTTAATCCCTAAGTTTATAAGCGAAAAACTGTGTCAAAAATAAAAATTGTTTTATTTGAACATATCTGTTGTACAAAATTCCATGAAACTGGATGAGGCCATACATCAGATTTAATTAAGAAATTAAACAGACAAAGAGGGAAAATCATATTGAGCAATTTTTATGTCTTTCTAAATAAAAAGATCTACATATTAATCAGTTACACACATGAAGATCTAAATTTTTTTGGGGGAACCGACAAGATCTCTTTTCAAACAAAAATTCTACAAACAAAAAGCAAAAGGCTGAAGATCAAAACAAGAATAATTCGAATTTCACGGCTTCTTGCATCGTAAAAAGTGATTCTTAAATTGAAACCCCTAACAAACAGAAACAATCAATCAAGACACAATTATTCACCAAAAACATACAAAAACAATAAAAACTTCAACCTTCGGAGGAGCAGGAACAGGAGCAGGCAAGTCCCAAGCCAACCGAGGCCGTTTCCTTGGTCGCTTATCGACATTTTTATGAGGAAATTCCAAGATCCTCTGCGTCTCCATCACGTAACAAGATCTAAAGAATTAAGCTTTGGAAACATATATAGATTCAAATGAAGCAATACAAAATATGATGTGAAAGATCGTCGGATTCTCAGGAACCCTAGACTTAATTGAGAAAGAAAGGTAACAACGGAGATGAGGCAGAAAGTAACCATGGTTAAGTTAATTTCTCACGTCCATGGTTAGTTTTTTACCATGGTTAGGAATTGGCACGTGACGTCTCTCTTTAGCGGCACGTGACGTGACTATCGAGGGTTCTTTTTCGGAGCATTCCGACAGTGAGCCACCATATCCAGTAATTGGGCCTACCCGATAACGAAATTTTGGTTCGTTCATCAAACTCTTATTCAGTTAAATATTTATTGATAAAATTTATCATTATTATTTATTTATCGAGTCAGATTTTGGTCAATCAAAACGGTATCGTATGTAACAATTTACCCGGTAAGCGTTAGTCATGATAAAAGTCGTCGTCCTCACTTACCGGGTAAGACTCTCGTTCCTTGTCTTCACTCTTACCGGATAAAATTATTGATCTTTGTCATATTCATCAGGTAAGGTAACGTGATTTGGTAAGCACTTACCCGAGTAAGGGTTGTTTACCAAATTTTTTATTAAGTAATGTATGGATAAATTTGTCTGTCTGGATAAATGGGCGTTGTTTATTTTTTTTATCTGAACCAACAATCTGAATAACATAAATGACCAATTTACCCTCATGTTAATTATTTGAACATCAAAACAAAAAATCATAAAGAGGCAGAATATGGGGTGTCTCATATAACAAGTAGGCGGTGCTTTAAATAAGGAGTCGGGTATCATTTTTGTGCCTGAACGGGAATAACACACCATTTCTATTTGTGCGATTAAATCATGTTTTATGCGAATAAGCGTAAGTAAACAACTCAAATGAGCTGTGCGAATAAACCAGATAGACCAATAAGCCTAATTAAGCCGCAAGTAAACAACTCATAAACGTGTGGTAAACGGCCCCTTAGATCCTGGCCCATTTATATTAAAATTTTAAGAAAAATCAGATAAACTTTTGGGAAATCGATAAAAAATAGTCAATCTATCAAAGCCCTTTCACTTTTTTTGTCATGTTAAGAACCAATTTCTCATAGACATAGTTTACGCATAAATCTTACGCTTTACGCTTATGATTTGATTTCATCCAAAAAAAAAAAAAACTTTACGTAGAAAAGTAGTTTCTACATAAAATTTCCACTTTTTGCGTAAACTTCAGCAAAAAAAGGTTATATAAAAAACGTTGCGCGGTGAAATGGCCATCAAGTGAATTAGTTTCGGGCATTGGCTATTTTTGTCGACTTCCCTAAAGCTTTTTCATCAAAGATGGTGATAGATGTGGGTGATAGTTTTGTACCAAACTAAACCAACGAACATGTGTACCAATGGTATCAATTAAATTGATACCAACTTAATTGGTACCGATTATAGTCAGTTGGTAGTATTGTACGAAGTATGCAAATTTGGTTGATACACGGTATTAGAAGTCGTGTACCACGGTATTACCATAGTACCGACTTATTTAATTATTAATTATTAATTAGTTCTTTTTTTTTTTATGTATTGAATATAAGTCAACAAGTTTTTATAAGCAATCTCAAACACCGCAGAAAACCTTTGGGATCATATGTGTTATATGAAAACTCAAAATTTGAACAAATTGGAAAGATTTTGTATATGTATCTTGAAGTTGGTAGAAAATCAATATCAACATGTACCAATAAATAAATAAAAATTTGGTACAAAGTACTGGTGGAAAGGTATAAGATTTTGTGTACCATTTATAATTGGTTGGTATATGGTATTAGAGACAAAAACTGATACCGTACCAACTCCACCCCTAGTGACAGATGATGTTGGATGGCAGACGATGATAAGACAGAAAGAGGGAGTGACGGCGTTAGGCACGAGGGATTTGAATTGTGTAAAGTTTAAGAACAACATAACGGATTTAAAGTTTTAATAATTCAAAATATTTCTAGCCGATTAGAGATAATTTTTTTGCGTAAAATATTTAATTAAGATAATTTTTATCTTAAATATTTTTTTTGGTAAGGTTTGCTATTTTTATGAACGAAAGAGGACGCAAATGATCGCTAGAAATTTATAGCCTCTTCGATGGATCGGTATCATCCAATTTTTTATGGCAGAAGTGGTCCAACCATCCAGCAAAACGACAAAATTTATGCCATACCAGTTTTTTAAACTACATATTTGCAGTGTTGAATTGTGAACGACTAACGTGTGGTCCCAGTCTAGTGATGGCCAATCGGTCCCGTCTAAAATACTAAGGCCCAATTAAGAGTACTTGTAACTGGTTACGGTAACCGGTCCTGGTCCCGGGTCGGGCCCAAACGGTCTTGTATTAAAAAGCATTTTCTTTTTATATTTTTTAAATTTTATTTTTGATAAATTTTAAAAAATACTTTAATGTGATTCCAATATATTTTAAAATATCTAATTATGTCAATCTAATACACTTAAAGAATACGTTTTTATTGTAGTTTATAATTGGTTTTTAATCAAATACACTTAAGAATTACGTTTTATTATAGTTTTGTAATTGGTTTTCAATCAAATACACTTAGAAAATATGTTTTATTGTAAATTTGTAATTTGATTTTCAATCAAATACATTTAAAATGCTATAAATACAATTTTTGAAAAAATTCGGACCGGTCTCGGGCCGGGTCGAACCTTGTTTTTGGATGAAAACCATAACCGGTCCCAATCGATCCCGAGCAGGCCGGGCCCATTAGGCCATCTCTACAATAATTTTATATAGTTTAAACCTGTAACTTAAAATTGTACATATACAATAATAACTTGTAAACTTGATTTTCAAAAAAATTAAATACATTTTGTAAATATTTTATAACACAGTAAAAGAGTTTGGACCGAGTATACTTGTGATCAGAATTTTAGAATCCCAGTAAAATTTATTTTTTAAAATATATCAATATATGTATCAAATACCAGTTATATACTTATACATGAAACCTGTCTCTAAGGATATTAATGTAACGAGACATTTACGGTCTCACTTAACGGCTGAGGCTATAGGGTCTATGAATCTAGAACGTGTCTTGTATTTGGACAAAGTCACCTCGCTCGTTTGCCAACTGAACACGTCAGAGGTCGAATGGATTCTTGTAAGAACTATTGCAATGCAACGTTTTTCATGAATCGTTCGTAAGAATTTGGCTTTTAAATAAAAAACCCAAAATTTTACATGGGTAAATTAGTCATTTGTATTGTTTTTGTTAGTTTGGTTGCATTTTATATTTTATTTTATATATTTAATTATAGAAAATTAGTAATTTTACGATAAATTAGTCATTGGTACTTGTTTTATTAGATGGATTTTATTACAAACAGATTTTGTGAATGATATGTTTGGCAAAGTAACTAATAAGTTAGTTGATGACTAATAAAATAGTTGGTAGTTGATAAACTAGATGATAAGTGATTAGCTAGTTGATAGCTGACAAACAAATCATGTTTGATAAAAACTAGCTGATAAACATGTAAAATGACTAAAAAGAGCATATTAAAAAATCAGTTAATTATAGTATTGTATAATATATTACAACAATTATTAGTAATATATTAATACAGACAAACATGACATAGAAATGTAATTCAAATTCAAATCCCTTAAAATCTAATCAAATCATGGAAACCAAACAGACCCACGTACAACGTCATATTATTAAACTGATTGTGATCCATCAGTTTTTTTAGCTGTTTTAAAGGATGTTTTAAGTTTTCAATCATCGGTTAGGGGATCACAACATCTCATCTGTCATGGTTTAACCCTAAACACCCACAACAATTATAACCATTAGATTTATCAGGACTGATGTATTAGAATTGTAATTTACTAAGATCAATCGAGAGATAACACGAGACATAAGGGTGTGCAGAAAGTCATCCAATCCAATTTAAAATTGACCGACCATAAACGGATGTCCAATTGTAATTGGGTTCCAAAATTTCAACATTCTAATTAGTTTGGTCGGTTATTCGATGACAGTTCAACATCCAATAAAAAGAAACGATCTAATCTGATCATCATCCAATTCCCGTTCCAATTATCATCCAGTTAAAAATTATATGTAATTATTAATATTTTACAATATTATTTTTTAGTTGATAATCGTATGCATTGTTTTTTAATAACTTAAGAAAATACGTGAATAGTTGGTTGAAAACTGGATCAAATTTTTAGATGAATCCAATATGATTTAATGGATAACTAATAGGGGTGAATGATTGTATGAGAAAGAGAGTTAAGGTAAGAAGCGTAAGAAGAGATTTGGACCATTGATCATTTTTAATCTCAAATCCATCCATGAATCGCGCTTGAATCTTGATACAAGGATTGATCCAGTTTTAATATGCATCTAATGATGGAGATCATTTCATACGTTTCTCACTAGATCCCAACCCTAACCAATAATAATATTCAATGGATGAAATCGATATGATCCAATCATCCACTAGATTTAATTGGATCGGATATCAAATGTTAGTCGGATTTGATCGTTTGACGAAATCCAATTTCCAATAAATGATTGGATCAAATCAGGTTCACCTAAATCCATTAGTTTTCAACCGATAAACACTAAGGGGCTGTTTACTAACTGCTGACAAGGATAATTCGATTAGCATATATGTCTCGGTCAGCAGTCAGTGTGTTTACCAAATCATGGATCCGACCGAATTGTTGACCGAGATCTTACCTGACCATCGTCAATTTTATGCTTACCCGAGTCAAACTTTACCTTTTCATACTTTCCCATTTTTTTCTTGATCAGGTTTCACCCGTCGCTCCCTATCGCTCATTCTCCTCCCTCTTCGTCCCCGACTTTCCCTACTACCCCTCGGTTAGTCCTCATCCATCGTCGCTCTCGACCCTTTCCCTTTCTCCCTCATCGCTCAAGTCCTTCTTCCTTGGCTGCTCGAAAAGGTACATTTTTTTAAACCGATTTATACATTTGCTGGATTTTCTGTTTTCTAATTTTATATTATGTATGATGATGATGGATTACTTGAAAGAATCAACTAATTTCATTACTTGATCGATTTTGATTTTGTTCTTTCGTTTTCCAATTGTGGGACTGGATAGTCGACTGGTTTCATTACCTGCACATCCCAGTTGGCATTGAAAGGTAATGAAAATTCCTGGTTAATTCCTTAAATGGGTTCAAAGAAACCTGTTCACAGGAGCTTGATTGTAACGTAACAACTTGTGTTTCCTACTTGTAACATTCACTCAACCAACCTGTTTTTATAGCCACTGTCATCTTGTTTGTAACAGCTTCTGTCCCTACTGAGCTTGATTGATTTCATTCATTTTTGTTCCATATGTGATTGCTTCGGTTCATAGTGTTTTGATTGCTTACAAAAACACCAGTCCCTTCGTGCATAATAATTAATAACAGTTATGAAACTATCATTGTAAAATAGTATTATTTTTATTGGTAATCATTTATTTATAATATGCATTTTTGTTTTTTTTCCCCCTTCCATTGAAGTATTAATAACAAAAATAATTACATATTATTCAACATATAATTACAAATAGGGTTATAATGATTATTTTATTGTTGGTAAACACTTATAAAAAAAAACATTTGGTAAATACTCTTATCCAGAACAACAGTTGCTCATAATAGGCATGACAACAGGGCGAGAATGTGACGGGCTTTGTAATCCCCGGCCCTGGTCTGTAGTAACATCCACCGGCCCAGGCCCCGGTCCCCGGCGGGTACAGGGATTATCATCCCGTCCCCAGTCAAATATCTAGTAATCCCCGGTCAAAACCCGGTCAAACCCCTAGTTTGATTATACCGAGAATCCTCAGCCCCGACCCCGGTTTGAGTAACATTCCCGTCTCCGGTTTGAGTCTACCGAAGATCCCGGCCCCGGGACCTGTTTTAGCAGGGAATCCCCGTTTCCATTCAGGTCGGATGAATCGGGTTTCCCACCGAGTCAGGACAAATCACCATCCCTAACTCAGATCAATACTATTACCCAGACAAACTTATCCGATAACAATCGCTAAAAAATCCCCAAGCTTTTAAATATTTTTTTGTATAAAAAAACATTTTAGTGGGAGGCGCCTCATTTTAACATTTGAATTTTTTTCACAAAGATACGGTGGCCCCCACTTCTGCCCAATTTGTCGAATAAAAGACGCACTCTTTGTAGCCGTTAGCAAACTTCAAATCTCACCCCCCTCTCTCTCTCTGTCTTTCGACCTACCAGACACAAATCAAAATCGCACACCGTAAAACCCTTCTTCCATCCAACAATTTTCGATCTTGAGTCATCGTTCTTGTTCAAATCACAGGTAAAAGGTTTAATAATCGCTTTTTTATGTAATGTCCTTGTGTAATTAGGATTTTGATTGGCAATTAAATGTATCATTTAGGTATTTAAGCGATGGAATATAAAAGGAGTGGGACGTCAATGACGCCGGATCATAGTGGGAAAGTGGGAGTTGGAATGGTGGCTAATCCGTTGCCGTTTCTTACTCCCAGACCTGAACGGAGACGTCCGGATCCTAGAAGTATTGATTGGAATTCGAGTAAGCCTGAGAAAGATCGTGGTGAAGTGAATATCCAAGTTTTGCTCAGATGCAGGTATAGTTTCTTCTATTACGTTACCACTTTGTAGCTAGGTTAATGTGTGTTTTAGGATCTGTGAGAATTCGGCTTGCAGCAACATGCAAATTAGTAACTTATCCTTTTCATTGTTTTTGTTTTTTTTAACTCTGCCCTTCTGTGGGTGAGTTTGAATCTGGTTGTAGTGCTCTAGCAATTCAAATTGGGGATTGTTTGTAGTGTATATGTACATATACATGATGCAGATTACCATGGACAACTGATCAAGATCATATGTTAGCGGGTAGAGACTTGTGGATTTGGTTGGAAACAATACATTCTGCAGTAAAATGATGTTTTGTTTTTTAATTCATAAACTGGATCTGCAGCTTATAAAAAGTATGGAAAATGTTTTTACACTTTCCATCTCACATAACTTGCAGGGTTAGGGGCTGTTTGGTGGATTTTCTATCAAGTCCTTTGTGGATAAAACTGTCTGTGTGACTAATCCTTCTGTATAGACGGGGATGGTTTTTGTCTAGAGGGGATGGAATTGACTTTCTGCATAAAGCTCCCCCCAGAACCTTTATGAATAAGCCACTTTATATATCATTAAGCCACTATCAAACGACCACTTGTAGCTGACCGGACAAACAGGCCCTTAGCCTACGATTAGATTTAAAAATCCGTTTGAACAAACTTACATGATCCTCGTAAAGTCTCCAAACTTTGCCTTCCATTTTCAATCAACTTTAGGGGACAAATTTTATTCTTATTCCAACAACCATGTACGGTTTCTATGTGTCATTTACGGATAATAAAAAAACTCCATAAAGTTCTATGCGTGATTTTGGATGTGTTAAAGTTGCACCAAAGTGAATTAAAATATCTTTCTTGGTTTTTTGATGTATTGATAGGCCCTTAAGCGATGATGATCAAAAGTGCAATGTACCAAAGGTGATAACATGCAATGAACACAAAAGAGAAGTAGTAATATTGCAAAATGTTGCTAACAAGCAAGTAGACAAAGTCTTCACCTTTGACAAGGTAAATCCTTTTAATCTGTTGTTACCATGAGCCAATGTAAGATTCATGTTTGTAATATGAAAAGTTCATCTTGTTTTTGAAATTTTTGAAGGTTTTTGGACCCAAAGCACAACAGAGATCGATATATGACCAAGCAATTTTTCCTATAGTGAATGAAGTTCTTGAGGGCTTCAATTGCACAGTCTTTGCATATGGTCAAACTGGAACTGGTAAAACATACACTATGGAGGGAGGGATGAGAAATAAGGTAGTTAAATGGTTAGACCTTTGTGGATACCTTATGACAGTAATATTTGCCAATTTTCTTGTGACATTTAACTGAATTATAGATATTTCAGAGCGGAGAGTTACCTGCTGAGGCCGGCGTAATCCCAAGGGCAGTTCGCCAAATTTTTGATACACTAGAGGCTCAAAATGCTGATTATAGCATGAAAGTTACTTTCTTGGAACTCTACAATGAGGAAATAGTTGATCTTCTTGCAGCCGAAGACTACTCTAGAGCTTTGGAAGAGAGGCAAAAGAAGCCCATTTCCTTGATGGAAGATGGGAAAGGTTGTGTCCTCGTAAGAGGTCTGGAAGAAGAAGTTGTTTATAGTGCAAATGATATATATAACCTTTTAGAACGAGGTACAGCCAAAAGGCGTACGGCAGATACCTTGTTAAACAAGCGTAGCAGGTAGACATGTTCTTACACTTGATTTTCAATGAAGAAGATGTACCACTTGTTGCTAAGTAGGCTATTTTCTTCTGCAGTCGTTCTCATTCAGTGTTTACAATAACCGTACATGTTAAACAAGCAACTGTTGGCAGCGAGGAAGTCATTAAATATGGAAAGCTTAATCTTGTCGATTTGGCTGGATCAGAAAATATTTCTCGTTCAGGTGCCCGAGATGTAAGGAAACAAATATATACTTTTATCTTTCCAAAAGGCTTAGTTTTTGGTTTTTTTTTACTGATATAGAAGAAAAGCATGTTCCACTCATTGTAGGGTAGAGCAAGGGAAGCTGGGGAAATAAACAAGAGCTTGCTCACCTTGGGCCGTGTCATTAATGCACTTGTGGAACATTCCGTCCATGTGCCATACAGGTTTGTGTTGATTATATTTCTGTTAACTTCCCATAATAAATTAAGGGGCTGTTTGGTTGGTTTTTCATCAAGTCCTGTATGGATAAAGTTGTCTGTGTGAATTAATCTATCTATATAAGATTGTGAAGGTTCTTATTTGAGAGGGGTTTTCACAGATAGGAGTGTGTTTTTTAATTGGGAGGGGCAGCTTTGGAGAAAACTTGACTTTCTGCATAAAGCTCCCCCTTTAAAGCTTAATGAATAAGTCACTTTCTATATCATTAAGCCACTACCAAACAGTCGTAGATAGCTGACAGAATAAGCTGTGAGTCTCATTAAGCTCATTAAGCTGCTAACAAAAACAGGCCCTAGTTTGTGTCACAAAGCATATTTATCTTGGTTCTACTAATATCCTGATATGCTGCATTGTACAGAGACAGTAAGCTGACAAGACTGCTAAGAGACTCGCTTGGTGGGAAGACCAAAACTTGCATCATTGCAACGGTTTCTCCATCTGCTCATTGTCTAGAAGAAACGTTAAGCACACTAGACTATGCACACCGTGCTAAAAACATTAAAAACAAGCCAGAGGTCAGCTTGGATGATATTCTGTTGTCTTATCTGTTTCTCTTTTGATATATATACCTTACATGTATTTGAAACTATACACTTTATTGCAGGCAAATCAGAAAATGTCCAAAGCTATGCTGCTCAAAGATATCTACTTGGAAATTGAGAAAATGAAACAAGGTTTGACTCACACTGGCATTATCCGTAATTTGTGGCATAATTAAGTAATGCTGCATAAGAATAACTCTTCTGTTACAATCTGAGCAGATCTTCGAGCAACTAGGGAAAAGAATGGTGTCTATATTCCAAATGAAAGATTCGCACAAGATGAAGCTGAAAAGAAGGTATGCATCCATTGAAGTGTCTCCAAAATTTCTTTAGTGAGGAGCATATACATACATACATACATACATACATACATACATACATACATACATACATACATACATACATACATACATACATACATACATACATACNCATACATACATACATACATACATACATACATACATACATACATACATACATACATACATACATACATACATACATACATACATACATACATATATAGAGGAAGGTTCAGGGGAAAACAACAAAAAAATAATGAGAAGTGTGCATACCATACAGATGAACATTACTAGGGTGTTACTCATTTTTTCATTTTTTTTGTTGTTTTCCCCCGAACCTGACCCTATATATATTATATAGCATGTTACCATTGCATTTTGTTGTTTCCTTGCTTGTAGAAGTAATGTTTACTCCTCTCACAGATGATTTAACTGTGATGTCTGTGCATCTACCCCTTCAATACTATGCTTCAAACAGATTAACTTTATGCTTAATTTTAATTTTGATATATGAATTTTCTTAGTCAAAGAATGAAAGATGGACCTATTTTAGATACATTGGTTGTTCACTTGTTTCTTTGTTCATAGAAGAAGTCGTGATTACCCCATTTCACAGATTTTTGAACAACGCATCTCTCTCTTTAATATTCCCCCTTCAATTCCATTAACTTTCTGCTCAATCTAATTTCCTCACCAAATTTCATACTCAGCACTATTTTTTTATTTATATGAGACTGAGTCGATCAATGCATCCTCTTTACAGATGAAGAATGAAAAGATAGAGCAACTGGAGATTGATCTAAACATCAGTGAGAAGGTAAAATTAGTTCCTCTATCAGATACAACTCTCGTAATCTTGCTAATGTGGTACACTCCTCTATACATTTACCATAAATGACGGTTACTCTGTCTCAAACGCAAAACCAAAAGATCCTGGGTTTGCAACAAATTTGATTGACTTGTATAATTTCACTTAATTGCTTGATGCATTACTGATGAATGAATTTGGTTTTTGAATACAGCAAGTAAATAGCTACCGTGAGCTCTATGAAAGTGAACAAGAAAAGAGGTTGAGCTTTGAAAGTGATCTCAAAGATTGCAAGGTATGCAATGAGCAGTGAGCAGTGAGTTTACAATGGATGTATATATATATATATATGTATATCTAAATTTCATCTTTAGTTTCTTATAAATTCTGTGTGTATCACATTCAGGAGAAGTTGGAAAACAGTAACAAGGCCTTACTAGATATTCAAGGAAAACATAGAGAAGCCATGTCAATGTTGAAGAAAAAGGAATTTATCATCTCCAAACTTTTGGATTCAGGTGAAACATAAACCTGACTCTAAAATAATTTTCCCCTTTCGCGCAAAATAAGTATATTCTGATATTTTTTATTCTTGTCATATGAACAGAAAACTGTCTAGTTGAACATGCAAAAGGTATGCGTAACAAACTACAAGATGCTTCAGAGGACGTGACTGAACTGTTTTCCAAAATAGGTATATGTTTTTTTCTATCAAAGTTATCATATTTTTCTTTTGGTAACAACTAACAAAGATAAATATTGTGTATAGATCATAAGAACAAGTTGGAAGCCGAAAACCATCAGATGCTCCTGTCATTTGGTTGTCAGCTAGATCACAGCTTAAAAGACCTGCAGAAAATTGTTTTGAGTTCAGTTTCACAACAGCAACAACAAATGAAATGCATGGAAGAACAAGTCTCTTCATTTCTTGATATTAAACATGCTGTAAGAAATTAGTTCCATCGTTAACAACTTATGTTCGAATTTTACAAGTTCACTGCTGATTTGCCTTTACTTTTATCAATCAGAAAACCCAAGTCTTGGAATCAAGGATCAAGAACATAACAGACACATACACTTCAGGCATGACGGTATTAAAGGATCTTGTTGACACACTGCAAATTCGAGCTTCTTCCGACTTGGTTCATATGAAGTCCAGAATATCAGATCAGATCATGGCAGTTGAGAATGTGCGGACTCTAATTCTCAGCAAACAACCATATTACCACCTTCAGAAAGAAACAATCTTTTTGCATTTTATGAACTTCTTTCCCTTCTTAAAGTATAGTACTAAATAAAAGTTAAAAAAGTTCTAATAATGGTAAATAGTACTCCCCACGTCCCAAAATAAACGTCCACAATGAAAAAGATTCAGAGTCTTACACATATAGTTATTACACTTCTTGATTAACTAAATGACAATTTTACCCTTATAATAGATGGAGTAATGAATTTCTCCATCTCATAGCTAAGGGTAGAATTGGCAAATAGACACTTTTGGGACAAACTAAAATAGAAATACGGACTCTTAGGGAGTAGCAATTTTGTTGGGAATGAATAGCAGGAAGTAACTTTTTGCATAGTTGGAAAGATTGTGGGAGATGGCTTATGTGATTGCTATGTTCTGTATGCAGATCTTTAAGAATGCGGTTTTGGAGGTTAAGAATGCCACTTGTGACATTCAGAACTCTATAAACGATCAGAAGCAGATGCTGGCTTTATCTGCTCAACAACATGAAGAGGTGAGGGGTACTTTTGTGGTCACTCATCTTTTTTTTCCACCAAATTATCATTTGACACTCAAAGACAACGGAAGTATTAAATCTTTGGTGCAAGTCTCATCTTTTCTTTCTGTTTGTATAGGGACTACATAAAAGTTTGATGTCTGCACATGAAATCTCGAGGGCAACAATTGATTTCTTCAACGACCTCAGTCAGCGAGCTACTAAACTCATGGCAGTTCTTGAAGAAAATCATAAAACTAGATCTCACCAGCTAGCAGCATTTGAGAAGAAATTCAAGGTCAAGATAAAATACAACTGAAAAAGCAGACTATATATATATATATATGTCTAATAACGTGACGAATCTATATACTAAAAATCTTTACTTTTCTGTTTCACAGGAAGATGCAGCTAGAGAAGAACATTTGGCAATTGAAAACATTTCAGAAATCATAAGGAACTTGACTGCAAAACAAACTTCAAGGGTGAGCTAGAAAAAATCATTTTGCTTACACACACACATGTATATATATATATATATATATATATATCATGACAAAAGAACTGTTAATCCATTCGTATGTTGACCATCTACCTTTCTGATCAGGTTTCTGAGGCATCACGAAAGATTGATCACTTAAGTTCACAAGATAACAAAATCTTGCTGCAAGACATTTCTAACATGCTGCAAGTATCAGATGATGGAAAGGCCGAGGTGAATGGATATATAGAGAAGGCAAAAGCTCGTTTTACAGAAAACACGTTTATTTCAACTGAAAATCGAGCATTGATGGAGAGCTGCCTAGAGGAGTGGTAAGGCATACAGTTTTAGAAACATGTAATTATTAAAAAAATTAATTAACTAAATGACAATTTTATCCTTAACGGAAGGAGTAATGAATTTCTCCAAATTAACTTGGTTTATATAGAAGTCACTTATCTATTTCTTCATGCAGTACAAATAAGGTAGGATATTCCTTACTACACTGGGATAATACACAATTAGCTATCGACCGTCTTAATGAGAGCAGTATGGTTGAAACCGAATCATTTATAAGGTACTACATGTTACCCAAACTTATAATGAAGTCTTCTTTTGCATGTTTTTTTGACCATTTAATCTCTTGTACAGAGAAAAGATTCATGAAAACAACCTCAGAGGTGAAGAGATCGTTACAAAACACGTATCTATGGAGGCAAGCTTCAAATCAGAAGCTAGTGGTCTGGAATCATCTGTTAAAGGTAATCCCAGTTCCCAATTATGGTCATACTTTGAATCTCTTATTTGTTTCGTAACTTCTTCATCAACTCAAAATTGGGTAAATTGTATCACAATCAGATTCACTGATGGTGGACCAAGAAACTGGAAAAGAGTTGGATTCCATGTCAAAGATATGCTTGGATCATCTTACATGTTTTGAAGACAAACATGGTGACAGAACTAGAAACATGCTAAACCAAGCTGAGTGCCTAAAGAAAGCTTATCAGGTAAAGTAACTGTTCCTTTAATCGTCAATTATCGCCAAAATTTTATGCTTATGAGAGTATGCAAGAACCCCATCTTCACCATATATAATTTCCCTTTTGGTTTTTATCAATCTGGAGGCACAAGATTTATGTTTGGTTGGTTTTCCATTAAGTCATATGTCTGGATTAATCTGTTTGTATAGATTGAGAAAGTTTTTGTAAAGACTGGTTTTTCATAGATGGAAATAGCATGTTTTTTAATTGGGAGGGGCAAGTCTGAAAAAACTTAGTTTTCTGCATAAAGCTTCCCCCTCGAAGCTTACTGTATAAGCCACTACCAAACAGTCATGTATAACTGACCGAATAAGCTGTAAGTTCCATTAAGATCATTAAGCTGTGAGCAGACAGGACCTTAGAGTGGCCCATTTTTAGTAGGGTTTGTAGGTAAATAGGCTCCTTGTGTAGTAGGACTTGACTTTCTTGCTTGTCTTTTTCTTACTGGCCTGACGTACATGTTTAAGTTGCTATGGACATTAATTTCAACTTGTATTACATGTTTTAAAGTTTTACTAGATTACATTGAATCATGCACACACCATTGAACCGTTTTTTTTTACCTGTTGTATTTCCCGATTACCTGCTATAACCTATGTTATTGTCTTCTTGCACACACCTTTGTTTCATGCACAAATACACATAAACAACCTCTCAATCCTAGTGGCTAAGGTAAGGTTTGCCCACATCCTACCCCTCCCATACCCTACTGTCAAGTGAGATATACTGGATTTGATTTGGTTTGGTTTCGTTATCATCTTTTTGCTAGTGGGAATGTTAATTATCATCTTTAGCTTGTGATTTACATTTATGATGGCGTATCATACAACAGGTTGATCATGATTCTGGTCCAAGAAAACATGAAATAGACATCCCGAGCGTAACATCCATAGAGGCGATGCGAGCACCAGCTTTTGCAGATCTCCTAGTTTCCGACAACCAACATAAACGTGTGGAAAATGGAAGCAAACCGAAGGTTCATAATCAACGGCTAAGTATGGGATCTCCAAACCGAAGTCCTTTTGCAGATGTCAACTAAATTTTGAGTGTACTAAAGATTACATCAAGGTAAGAGAGGTTTAGCATATATCATAATGTTATATATATGATCTTGTATTGGTCTCATATTATGCAGTTGTTTTAAGGTTAGTGAAGTCCAAAACTCAGTTTCATACTCATCTACTGATGAGCAAAACTGTTGTAATGATGTTTTCTTAAAGTAAATCCTGATTTGGATAACCACCCTTTTACTATGCTTAAGTGTTCATGCATTTCGTGCCAATCTCGTGATCTGTGTTCTGTAAAAAGGGTATGAAGACCTTCTGGAGTGCCTCACGGGGGTTCAACTTCAGTCACGACCTGCCTGACTCTTGACACGTGATTCAGCTGTCATGGGAAAGTAAATCACGTGTCATAAGGGCAGATTGGAGAAGTTGAACTTCAACCTTTCATGGGGTTCAACTTCAATCACGACCCGCTTGACCTTGTGACACGTGATTCAGCCGTCATGTGAAGGTAAATCACATGTCATAGTGGCACGTGGGTGATGAGTGGAGTTGAACCCCAACCCTCCACTTATTATACAAGGTCATCCACCTCTTTATCCACCAGGATAAGCCGGGATGACATGATAAAAGTATGTGTCCATTTTCATCCATAGGGTTGAAGCTTTTTTCCTACGTACCAATCTATCCTACTCGTTACCACCTCTGGTAAAAACTAGAGTAAAAATTGATATTTTCGTCCATGTGGTTTGTTAAAATTGTGTTTTTTCAATTTGGTTTGTAATTCATTGTTTTTTCAATCTATTATTGTTTTGTTTCTTGTGGTTTATAATTTTTTACTGTTTTGGCACCTTGTACGTTAAGGTAGAAACAGAGGTGTAAACGAGCCAAGTCAAGTAATACGTTATTCGAGCTCAACCAAACAAAACAAAAAAAAAACTAGGCTCGAGCTCGATTAACTTTTTCAATAAAGGGGAACATTGGTTTTATGAAGTCTGGTTCGTTAATTTAAACGAGTCTTATTTTGTGTTCGAGATCGACTTGAGCTCAAGAATTGTCAAGCTCAAGCTTGGGATATACGAGTTCAAGTAGCTTGTTAAAATCTCCAATCATTTATACCCCTAGGTAGGAATCAGTCCAAGGATGAAAATTGCAAGAAATTGCAAACCATGAGGACGGAAATTACAATTTCTAAACCATAGGGATAAAAGTTAAAATTATTAACAAATCATAAGGACGAAAATGATAATAACTCTAAAAACTAATAAAGTATATGAAAATTTTCACTTACTGGATTTTTACGAGGATTTCAATTGAAACAACTTGATATAAAACAATCAACTTTGAAAATTGAATTGAATTTTATCAGATCATTCATTGGATATCCAATAAAAGTATCAAATGGATGGAACCGAATAGATTCAATCATCCATTGGATTGGATTTGATAGGTGATTCAATATTAATCGGATTGGATCGGTTGGCAAAATCCAACATCCAGTGGATGATTGGATCAGATCGGTTCGGTTCTCTCACATCCAATGGATGTCAAAAGATGAACAAGCCTAATTTTAGTTTATGTTTTTCTTAGTATTTTATTTTTAGTGGTTGGATCAGAGATGGTCTTAATGGTCATCAATTTAAGTCATGTAAGGCTATTAAGGATTTTCTCTTAATTTTTATTTTAGAAACTTTGAAATTAATCGAAGTGTACAAAAGCTGATCTAGACCTTTAGGGTTAAAAAAAACACATATGAGTTGTTCGTTTACCTCTTAATAGTTTCATTAAAAGACAACATTTAAATCGTTAAAAGATAAATCTTGTTTGACAAAAACAAAATTTGCTTATTAGTGGTTTTAAAACCTTCTGAATGATTTTGTATTATGGACCTCTCTTAACCATTTAGTGCTCTAATTTTATTGTAAACAATGATCAAATAATTATATTTCATTTTGCATTATATCATGAGAGACACTTAGGGGCTGTTTGGCAGTTGCTGAATGGTTTTGTGCAGAATGGTTAAGTGGTCAGAATGGTTAAGTGCTGAATGAAATATGGTTGTTTGGTAAATGTTCTCTGAATGACAACAAATTACCATTTTACCCCTCTATATGATTTAATCCAAACC